TGTGTTCGCATGGTCAAGTCAATCTCCTAAAAACCCGATATTCAACCTTCTCGACTGATTGTGTAGCTACAGAAAAGAAAACATCTCCCCACTGGCGTTTCAGTTTCAACAAAACAGCCTTTTAGATTTCCAAATGAAAACCGATGTTAGCAGCTAGCCTCTGTTAGCATCTCCTTGCTAAGAGAAGCAAATACAGAACACGTGCAGCCTTTGCTTATCTAACTGTCCACACCTTCTCCACCTCTTACTCCACCTTCCCTTCAATCTCTTCTCTCTCCATCTACACTCTTCCCTTATCTGTGTCCTCGCTTCCAATTGTTTCTCTTTCTCTTCTGCTTTTTTTTATTTTACACTTCCTGCAGATTTCTCTCTTCATGCCTGACAACACTCTTTCCTCAGTATGTAGGCTGGGTTTTAATGATTGCCATTGCGAGCATGTGACTCTGACAGGCTTCGTCTTGTCATTACCTCTGACTCTCTTTATTCTATAACCTTATCCGTCTCTAATTAAACCGGAGTTCACGGGCATCCATCAAACTCACGCTACAGAAACGTGAAAAAGGTGTAGCAACACGCCTGCCATCCAACACACAAACACTCCCAAATATTGTATTGCTTATGATTACATTCATTCAGAATTATAATCACCAATAATCATTGTGTCCCTCGCAATGAATAACAGCAACCGGCAGGAAGATAAACACACACAAATATGGGCTGGTACGAGTAATTATGTCCCATCATTTTGCCTTTCAGAAGTCATGCGGTAGACAAGATAATTTCAACACCTAATTATAGATTATTTGAAATTCTAATAGGTCTAATCCACATTAAAAGTAATAATTTAAGACAAAGGACTGGAACCTCCCATCATTATCAATGTGATTTGCAGGCCTCTTAATAATGGACAAAACCAAATCAACAACAACAACGATTAAGTTATGAATGTACTGGTATGAGCATCTGTAATTATTGGAAACATCAGGTAACAACAAAATGCACATTATGTCATTATCAAGACGAAGTATTCAGTAATGTAATAATGTCCTTAGGTGCACTTCATGTGAGTTCCCCCAGAAAGAAGTGCCGGTCAATAGTATTAAAATATATTAAGGTATTAAAATAGATCTGGAAAATGTTGGGGCACAATGAGATTTAAGATATCAAAGCAAAATGAGATAACTAAAAAAGAACCACACATTTCCAAGTCCAGAATGCACCTGCAAATTTGCAATTTTGAGTAAATCTGCCAAAAAAAGACTGAAAATAAGATATGACGAACGTATACATATCGACGTTGACTAACACAATGGGTCTATATAAGCAGTGTAGTCTTAATAACTTATATAAAGTGTTATTTTGTCACCTTTAATGACTTGGTCTGCACACCAACATTAACATAAGTATAAAGTCATGTGCCTCTGCGCTGTGAATTAACTTTCTTTAAAAGCAGACGATAGGACGGAAATGGTTTGATAAATGAGAAATAAAGGGTTGTAGGGGAGGTTCTTTTCTCCTCTACATGATTCACACAGTGTCGGGGCTCTGCTGTGACCTCTGACCCGCCTCACTCCTCCTTTCATACAGCTCGTCCTCATGAAGAGTCACTCAGGATTAAAACAAACAAAAGGTCATCTCTGCTGCTTCTAATGCACAACTGCAAATGTCAACACGCTGCAATTACATTTGTAAAGTGTGTTTTTATCACTTGTACGTTTTTCATGCATCCATTTATCATCTCCAGCCATCGTCAGGACAACCTGTGCCTCCTGCTTCCTCACTTTCCAAGAAAAGACTCAAGATGATCTTTAAATACTTGTAATCTTTATGTACCCTGAAAAAAAAGATTTTTTCACGTTTCATCCATTTATTCATCCATTGCTTTTAGCGAGCTGGAGTTGTAAGGGGTTTAATGCTTTGCTCAAAGGCTCTCCTTCACATTCCAGCTATGTAATACTGGTCTGTCCATTGTACAAACTTCAAATTGGGTCTAATGGATTGATCATTTATCAAGCAAACTAGCCATTATTATCTTAACCGCTTTCACACCAAGTACTTTGCCGTACTTGCCCCCATGGAACTAAGTGCAGATCGCGTTCACACCGGAATAAGTCCCTGAGGGAGGATTAGGCAAATGAAGCTGCTGACGTCACTTCTTCGTCTTCTGCTTTGGGGTTTACTGGCAGGCCGCAAACAACTTCACGGCGTATACTGAGTAAATCGCCAGAACACCGACACCTCCTCATCTCCACCGCTCCCATGTTTTTTTTGTGTGGCCATGAGTTCTCTCCGTTGGTGCTAATGCTAATAATGCTAATGCCAGCAAATACAATGGCAGCTTCACAAAACTTTTACGGGGCGTGGTTTGCAATTCGCCCAGCCAATCGAAATTGCTACTTTTTTCTCCCCAGGATAGTCCCACCTCTCTAGCAGGCACTAACAATGGGGGTAAAAGTTCTCGGAACTAAGTTCTCTTTTGGTGTGAACGCAAAATGCCAGGTACTATCGGAACTAAACGGGAAAAGTACTCCGGTGTGAACGCGCCTCTTGGCTCCGGGAAACTGCGTTATCTTATACCCGGGGACGGGTGGCGCAGTGGTCTGTGCATCCGATCATCAGATCAAGGGGGAGTGCTGGGGAACTCCAGTTCGAAACCCGCTCCTGCCGCCACTGCGTCAGGCCGTTGTGTCCTTGGGCAAGACACTTCACCCAGATTTGCTCCTGTGGGTATTGTCCACAGTACATGTATAATACCAATGTGTACTTGTAAAAGCGCCTTGATGACCTCGAGGCGTGAAGATGGACGGTGTGGCGCAGTGCGCTGTGCAATGATCATCAGATCAAGGGGTGAAACCCGCCGCTGCTGCGTCTGTAAAGCCGGTGTGTCCTTGGGCAAGATACTTCACCTGAACTTGCTCCTGTGGGTATTGTCCACAGTATCTGACCATTGTATGTATGTATGATGTATATGTAAAGCGCTTTGAGTCATTGAAAAAGCGCTATAATAAATGTAAGGAATTATTATTAAATTATTATCCATTTTTCATTATTTTCCCACATTTTATAGATTATTCATGGGGGAAATAAATAACTGGACAATGCAAAGAAGTCTGTAAATCACAGGTTTCCTCACAATATCATATCATTTGTATCGACAATGAAACGGTATTTGAAAATAGCATTAAGTCTGATATAATATTATTTGGATTTGTTATTATTTGGATTTGTTTAATTTGATCAGTCTGCCATTGATATGAGAAGCTTGTTTTCTGCCTATTTACCACACTCATTCATATCAACTCACAAAAAACAACTGATGGTATATAGCTTGACAATTTCCTTTCCACGCTCTGAAAGAACAAATGCTTGGGATATGTGCTCTGTACTTGGTCTCCGTTAATGCCACAACTCACATTCTACGATCAAATTTGAGAATCTTTTACATTTAAAAGACGGAAAAGAGATCACTGTTAATATCTTAACTTTAGTATAGCAATGCTTTCATCTCAGGCATTTCCCTCTGTATTCATTTCAGCTGAACGTCGTCATGTTCCCTGAGCTGATCGGAGCCGATTCAGATCACCTGTTAGCTGCTAATTAAGAATCGAGAGCAGCTTAGCATTCCCCCTCCCGGCCAATCAGATGTGACAACGCCCTTTTCTTTGGGGCTTAAGAGAGGAGGAGAGCTGCACACTGCTCATCATGCCAGGCCGTAATGCATACATTATTTCAGCAGAGATTGTCAGGAAGAAACCCTGGACTTTAGGCGCTTTTCAGACTTAGTTACGGTCTGAACTTCTCTGATTGAGAGTGATTTTGAGCACAGTTAAACATAGTAGGAATTAATGGCAATAAGCGATTTCCACTGGGTTGCATGAGGTCAAATATGAGTACTATTTGCACAAGAGTTAATGATAACCTGCAAGCTCTGTTTCTGTATGTTCTGTAAATCAGAATATTTTATGTTTTACCCACTGCTGTGAATGTGAAAGACCTGAAGATGTGTTTAAAATATCATTGTCATCCCCTGTGGGATGCTGATGGTAAATCAGTACTGCCACTGTTATGTGTTAGTTTCTAGACCTGTGTTCATGCTTCTCTAAAGCCTAGAAGTTGATCATGGGTCAGGGTGTGGAGGTTCATCAGACATCTTAAGCGACTTAAAGCTGATCAGTGGCAGATCATAGTCTGGCTGTGTTCACACGCACAACGCTGCACGGGGAAAAGCCCGCCTCATTCAAATGAACTGCAGCTAAAGGGCTCATCCGACATAAAGAAATGTAACCTGATGCAATTTCACATTGTTTAATTAAGTGCACATTCCTCACAGTGTTTTCTAACTTATTCTGTATATTTACGTTGTGTATTCGATAAAGACGTACTCAATAGATATCTAATGTTCACTGTTTATATATTTTCTATTCATGTTTATTTCCTTGTGTTGTAGCCTACATACACTACCTCACAGGAAGTATTTTACTTTAACTAAAAGCTGCTGTGCACAACATTTTAATGTATATAGTACACTGTGTTTCCGTCACTTAATAGACTGATATTTAAGAGATTTATTTAAGAAATGTTGAAATAATTGTACATTGACAGTCAAAATGCTGCTGTGACCAAATAATGCATCTAAATAAAGTATATATCTATTTATTTGATGCATATTTTTTGTGTTTTCTATTTGTATTCATGTGCAAAGCCTTCACACGCTGCTGTGACCAAACAAGTCCCAATTTGGAATCAATAAAGTATATCTAATCTAATGGATGTGACTGTAGTGCAGAGTAAAAGCATCAAACACATCTGTCACTCAGACTGGACTTCCTGTATTGCATTTTATCATCCTGCTGCTTCATCACTCACACATAAATAAATCCTCCTCCAGTGTCCAGTGTTTAACCTGACATGATCACACATCTTATCAGCCACACCCTCCTCCATCTATCTGTCCACCCTCCTCTATTCTATCAGCCAATCACATCCCTCCCCCTCCTCACCGTGCACTCCATCTCCTCCGGCTCTGGTTTGATCTGTACCGAGGGCATGACTGCCACCTCGTCCTCCTCCGCCTTCACAGAGCGTGTCGCCACTTCCTCGCCCACTTCCTCCTCCGCCTTCACAGAGCGTGTCGCCACTTCCTCTTCCTCCTTTTGCGGCCGAGGCCTGGTGGCCGGCTCCTCCTCTTCCTCCTGCTTGTCCTCCTCCTCCGGTGGCGGTGGTGATGCTGATGGCGGCGGTTGTTGTTTCTTCAGGTTGCTCCTCGAGCTCCTCTGCTTCCTCTGGCCGCCGGCGGCACTCTTCTTCTGCTTAGGAGTTGACTGGCACTAGAGGAGGAGAAGAAGAAACAAGGTGAGAAGGGTCCATGATCGACAGAGGAAGGAGAAGGTAGAGGAGGTTGAGGAGGGGGTTGGGGAAAACATGGCAGAGAAAAACAGGGGAAGGAAGGGTGAGAACAATGTGAAAAAACTTCCAGGCCAGAGGAGAGGGTGAATGGAGGGGATTTGCTAAAGGGTTTGAAGAAGGAATGAGGAGTAAAGTGGGCCAGGGGGAGAAGAAGAAAGAAAATGTGAGGAGGAAGACAGGTAGGAAATGCTAGAGTTTGGTCTACAAGCATTACCTCTGTGCTAAAAGATGGCTAAATGAAAAGCCTTCTTCTCAAAAATCTGCCAGAAGAGGGGGGTAAAAAACACACACACATTCTGCTTTTAAAAAAAGATAGAAAATGAAAGGCACAGAGAGAGACAAAAGGCCTAATCCTGAGGCTGCCAGTGAGGGAATGAGAGCGAAAGAGAAATAACAGAGAGGGAGAGCAGGGAGGAGTAGCCGTGAACTGACCCCTCCCTCCCTTTCAGTGCAGGCAGGCGGACACACCCTTTTCTGGAAGCCGAGCGAGAGAGACACACACACATGCATGAAGAGCGAGAGAGAGAGGTGGGGAGTGCCGAGGCAGAGGGACTCAACACACACACACTTCTAGAAATGCACACACCCCTTCTCTGCCTTTTCTGTCTCCATTTTCCCTCCATGTCCACTTCCTTTTTCAGACCAAATTCAATGTAAGATTATGTCTTAGAATTAGCAAAATGAATTGTTAAGAGGTAAGTTAACAATGTCCATTATTTCTATCAGAAAGAATCAATGCGTGCTTTACACTGACAATATATTAGATACTTGGGTCTCTGTACTTATACAGAACACTGAGAACAGTACAGTGTTTCCCTTTCAGGCAAAATATAATAACAATTATTACAGTTGTTGGATCAAAGGAATCAAAATGAAGTGAGAATTATTTAAAAAATCCACACAGTTTCAATCTGTCTGTGGTTTTGAAACAGATTGTCATTAGGCGGTGATTCTAGCCGTGGGAACATATTCTGTACTATGAATAGAGTTTGTAAAAAATGACCAGCATTATGATTAACAACAGAATATATCATGTAAAGAAGAGTATAAAGAAGAGCAAGCTTTCTGGAGAGCCAAAATATGATTTAAATGATCTGAAAATTAAATCTTCTGTTTAAGACCCGTCTGTTCAACTTGAATATGTGGCTTATCGAGGAAATGTGACGCTGCAGAATTACTTCAATGATGGTGTAATTTCCATATTTTGACTACATTTTTTTTTATAACCCTCCTGTTGTCTTCGGATCAAATCTGACAGATTTACTACTTTCATCAATCATACATTTTTTGTTTTACATTCCATTGCATTAAGGCTTCATGATATCCTTCACAGTAGACATTTGAACATATACAATTGCTGATCACCACTTTCATTGCATTTTGGATGATTTAGTCAACTTTGTAACACCATGGTGTTCCCGCTCAAACATGACCACCATAAAGAAAAGGAATTAGTAACCATCCGGATCAGATAAAACACACACACAAACACCCACACATACTCTAGATGTGTCCCCCGACCCCCCCTTATGTGCCCATCCCCCCATGTGAATCACACCTGGCACACGCAAACACACAGAACTATTTGATACAGTTCCCGCTCTTATGTGCCCATCCCCCCGCATGGATCACACCTGGCACACGCAATACATGTTCAGTGTCTGTTCTTTGTATATTCACTGCAGTGTTTCATGGATACCAGTAGTCTGATACAATATGTACAGTTTGAAAGGGTGTTAAATGAAATTTGGTGGTGATTAATGGTTTTTGTGTTAATGTAATAGCAGTTAAAACAGGACCGGGCGAACATCAAAGTAAGGGGGGGGGAACGAAGACAAGGGTTAGGAAGCAATATCACTTACACTTGAGATATGAAATCAGATGTCTTGTGTTCTCCTCGGCAGACAGACTGACACCGAGGGTCGTGACCTACAGTTAAATACTGCTGGTCTGGTCTTGTGGAAGTTGTAAAACAGATGACTTCCCTTCTGATTTTTTTTCTTCCTCTTGAAGCTCAGCTGATGTGAATGTGGTTACAGCGTCTCAGTGGAAGCTTTTTTTTTTTCTTCAGAAATGTGGTTTTAAAAAAGAAACCTGACTCTGTGAGATGTGCACTTCCTCTGAGTTTAGTGACGTCTAAGTGCTGATGTTGTGAAACTGACATGAACAAACACCAGCAGAAACATCTGGATGTGTGTCTAAACCACACTGAAGCACAACGTGACACTGATCAATCCAGCAAACTCAGTACTGATCATGACTTCCTGTGTGAGCAAGACATAGACAGGAAGTGATGGTGAAATGTCTTCACAGCTTTTCTGTCTTTCTCACAGTAAAGATACAAAAGTACTTCCTGCCTGCACTCACAACACTGCTTATCGTGGGAGATACAGTAAACACCTTTGCTACCACTGCCTCTGGGAATTCATTCCAAATCAAATGGCAGATTGAGTACATTATTCAATTAAAGAGTACCTTTAGCATTCAGTATATTACTCCTCCAATACACAAACTATGTCTACCTTTCGTTTACATTGCCAGGCAGATTATTTGTGTTGCATCTACAGACAAATCTAAGTTCCCTCCCTTGAACCACACCTAAGTAGGCGACAACCATTGTGAAGCGGATATCAAAGCACTCTGAGCCATAGGGACGAAATATCTTCTTTGTAGCGTCCAGTGTTTCCACATTTACGACTTGAAGGTAATGAAGTCAACACCAACATCAAACGGCTTCTCAACAGGAAACAGGACAAACCAGGACCATTGAATTGGCCTTAGAGGGCAATTCTAGTTTTAAGGTATCCAAAGTTCCTTCAGTGTGGCAAAATAAACAAATGACTTACTGTACTCCAGACTTTGGTAATCAACATTGTCACAAAGCTGATATCCCTTCTTTATATCAAATCCAGTGCTGAGAGAAGCCTTGAGGTTAAATCCAGTGACTCTAACAAGAGCTTTAATCCATGTTCTGACTGTACTCTCTGTCCTCTTCACAGAGACTGATGCAGGCCTACATGTGACCCAGCAATGGATTCCACAGTGAGGTGTGGCCTCAGCCAATCAGTATGGGTGTGGCTGCAACTCCACCCCTCCCAAATGTACACACACACACACACACACGCACACACACACACACACACACACACACACACACACACACACACACACACACACATACACACACACAACCAGAGGACACATGCTGGTCTCTCAGCCCCATTGTGGTGGGACAGAGCCCCCTCTGTGTCTCTAAACAAAGGTAAAAGCAGCTCCATGCCACACCTTCCCCCCAACCGGCAACCTAGGTCTCAAATTACAAACAACCCCCCTTAAATATATCAGAGTATCCCCTCCCCTAATTTACTTTATATGTCCTCGTTGTGTGGCCTCTTGCAGGAACAACAACAAACAACAATATCTACAAATGAATTCAAGAGCAGATGTTGCTATCTGAGCAAATGAGCGTAACATCAGGCTTAGGAAATGTGCCATTATTCTGAGACCGGACCTACATCCCATTTCTATGACAACAGGAGCAGAAAACGGACCACAATGCATTGCAGCGAAAGATAGTGAATCTATTGATTTATTTTATTTACAGACCAAGATGAATTCCAACCACCGTTGATTTGAAATGGTCATAAATTATTAAGTCTTGCAAGGTGTGGCTTTCCTGTACTACTTTTACTTTACATAAAATAAATGAAATAAGCTTCCTGTTAAGATGATGTGTATAGAGAGACCAGTAGTCTAATGTGATCAAGTTTACTCAAACTGTACTTAAGTAACTTTACAGATACAGATTATTAACTAAAACAAAAATATAAATCACTAATAAATACACATTTGTTGGTGTAATTATTGGTTAAGATATCCAGCAGCAGTTTATAAAGTAAGTCAAATTAGATCCTCCTTTGTGATGAACACATTAATGCATCAATAACCCTTAATATATACGTTATATGATGGGCCATTTTCAATAACAATTTTCTTTACTTTTGGTACTTTGAGTATGTTTTCATGCTCATACTTTTGTACTTAAGTAAGACATTGAATGCTGGACATTAACTTGAACCAGAATATTTTAAATGTTACTTTTACTTAAAGGTCCCATGTTATGGCCATTTCTATTGTTTCCATTGTTGAGGTCTACTAGAATAGATTTAGATTACATTGTGCAGTTTTCCAAACTCACATTGGTTTCTCATACAGCATCTCTGTATAGTGTGTGTATTCACTCTCTGTCCTAAACGGCTTGTTGGAGCTCCTGCCCCCCCTCCCTGTGAGCCCACTGTGCTCTGATTGGTCGGCTCGTTGTGAGGCTCGTTGCTCCTGTGAGCTGCTTCCGGGTCGGCGATACAGCGAGAACAAGCGAAACTCATCCTGAGCACACAAACACTCACAGCCGAAGTAAAAACAATAAGTGTGGCTTGATATTGAGAAAGAAAAAGGTTTATAACGCTGTGAGAACGGGTCTGCGCCATCCCAACTCGTCTATTACCAGCGTTCAGGGAGCTCTATGCAAGTCAATGGGACTACCTGTTAGTTAGCCAAGCGATCCTGGTGTGTGAGGAGCTCCGCGGATTGGTCCAAGACAGGTCTTTCTGTGTTAGAGTTTTATTCGCTACAGGGTGTACTTTGAGGGTTTTGACTCTGCAGACCGTTTACATGCAGAAAAACCTTCATAACACAAGGGGACGGGTAATAGCCAGAAAAGCATGACATGGGACCTTTAAGTACTTTTTACATCACTGAGTGACAGTACAGGAAACGTATTGAGATTTTTGACAAATTGTAAAGCACTTACGCATCACTGTACCCTGTATACCAAGGCGGTTTTGCCATCACTTACTGTACGGAGGCTCAGTCACTGGTACTTTTTCATTTACAAAGCCATGTTGGATAAACTACCACCTTA